CATTGTTGAAGTGAACTTTTGGTAAGTTTACCATGTACGTATAGAATATACTTCTACATGCACATTTGTCCAACTACCAAGCCATGAGAAGTTTCAGGGGTTCCAACACTTATTTGGAGTTCAGTTTCCTTAGAAGGACTTTACTGGAGGCTTGCTATGTTTCTGTGATATGGGGTTTATTTACACGTATGGAGACTGGACATAAGAGTTCAAAACATCAACACCCCAACAAATTCCTAATCCCCATCAGGTGTTTAACATGACCCAAAATTCAATAAGATTTCCTGCTTTGTACAAAGTCATATCCTTGCTCCCTTTTCCATTTCTGACACACCTGCCCATCAAGGCTTAATTTACTCTCAATGATCTGTGTTGTGTGCTGTCAGCCATTATGAATATACAGAGAAATAGAGAAACATAGCGAGTCAGAAGGAGTCTCCTAGGACATCTAGTCTGACCCCCAGCTCCAGCCAGCTCCACTCATGACATGCCTACCATGTACATGTCCAGCCTATGCTTGAGCACCCTCACCAATGGGGCTTCAACCACCTCCCATGCAAGTCCACTCCATACCCAAACTGTCAGGAAGTACTTCCTGGCATCCAAATTGAACCTTGGTTCCTTGAGCTTTGCTCCATTGGAACATGTCCTGCCCTCCTCCACTGCGGAGAACAGGTCTCTACCCACCTCCGTGTGACACCCTCTCAAGTATGTCGCCAACAGATCCCCCTGCAGTCTCCTCTTCTCCAGGCTGAGGAGACCCAGTTCCTTCAGCCTCGCCTCATGCGGCATCCCCTGCAACCCGGCCACCATCCTCGTGGCCCTGGGCTGCACCGATTCCAACCCGGCTATGTCCTTTTGTTGTTGTCGTCGTTAGCTACCCTGAGCTGTCTTAAGGAGATGCAGAATATATATACTGTATCTACCAACAACAAACTGCTACCGATGCAGTTATAGATACTTAGACATTTATTTCATGAGCATCAGCTCTTTCACTATCATCAGAAATCTTTTGGAAAGACTTAGGTAGTTATAATTTGATAGGGCATTTCCAGTCAATATTTGGCTTCACACATTAGCTGACTGAGCCATCCACAGTCTGGACTGATATTCTGACTTGTCAGCACACACCAAGCTTGAGAATTTGTCAGGTTGACTGCAATATTTTTCTTTTTTTTTCTTTTTCCCAGCAGTCCTCATCCTCTGTTCATTTTGAAACAGAAAATACAATTTGAAATCTTCCCCATAACAGTCTTGATGGGATGGCACATGGAAATGTATCAATTCATTCAATGTATGAAATTTAGAAAGGCTGTTCAAATCCAGCAGACTTTATAGCATGTTATGCATCAGGTCTTTATGTTTCGCTGTTAACAATTGACTCTGTCTTCATCTCCTTGGCTGAATGTTTTAAATGGTTTTTATGAAAAATTTACTTTTAAGTGTAGTGGTGCTTTTCTATGTTTTATTGTTACAGTTACTTAGAAATGTTTTAGTAAGCAGACACAATTTCTACCATTAGTTTATGGGAAATATTTTAAAAATTGCTGAAATTGCTTCCATTTCACACAGGTGGAAGCTGAATCATTCAACCTGTTAGATATACTTTACCTCTTGCATGCCAAATATTTTGGCCTGAACATTCTGAAACGCTGGTTACCTAGCGTGTCTAAGATGGATGGCACATGGATTTAGGTGCCTTTTTACGTTTCATAAAACAGATTGTAAAAGGGGCACAATTCAGTAAAGGATCATACTGGAAACAAGGTTTGTTTGAAAAAGAGCACTTGCTGACATGCTTGTTTTGCAGCTTTTAAGTCTAGCTGTGTTATCTCCATAGGACGGATACCATGGAGCAAAGAGTCTTTGCGATGAGACGTATACCGAACGCCTTGGGCCATTCGATCAGTGAGCTGGCCAGATATAATGATGCTGCTGGGGAATAATTACGTGTGTTCTGGAACACAAGGGATGGGGTCACTGTCCTTTCCTCTCTTCTCTAAGTGACAGTGTCCTGTGGCAAGCACTAGGAGTCAAATCAATATGTTGCTGCAAAGTTCAACATGGTCCATTGGTATTTGTAGTTTCAGGGGTTTGGGTGCTGTTGATATTCTTGCCAGAAAATGCTACTATGTTTAGTGAATAGATAAATAAATATACATGCTAATATGCGTAATACATATGCATGCATGGCTATGCTGATCTCTCTCTCTCTCACACACACACACGGACAGGGAGGAAGGGAGGGAAACAGACAGACAGCAAATCTAGCTCTCTGCAGCAAAATGTTGCAGTGTATCCCCATCCTTAGAGAGACGCATCCTATAAGAATTCCCTGCTCTAGTTAGCCTACTTAGGTGGCTGCATTTTATTTCTAGACTGCTAGGGATTCAGTTACCTGTTCGAGAAAATCACACACACACACAGTCACACAAACCAGATCTTGTATCTTGCTTCAGCAAACTGTCTAATGTCTGTCATTAAAGACTACATCTCCTCATTATGATTTTAATACAATTATTTTAGTATTAAATACCTGTGTGTGGTCTCAGCTCACCATGATTTAGCAATGTTGAGAGGTTCCAAGAAATGCCTTTTATGCTGATCAAAGTAATTGCTGTGAAGAAGAGGGGGTAATACAAACCTGAGGATATTTTGTTTTCTGGCACTTCCAGTCAAACAAAGTGTCCCCTGTTTCCAAATGTCTCCTTGTCTAGACATTTGTTTTGGATATGCTTGCGCATTATGATGATCTGATTCACTAAATAAATCTAAGAGAAAAGTGCCAGGTTAAGGGTCAGCTAAACGACTCAAAATATCAATTTAAAACCAGTCCATCCATGCAGAGTGAGCAACTTCCAGCAGTTTCTTGGCTAGCAGCGTTTCACTGAAGATGGATCAGAAGAACTGCATAACGGAGGCTGCTTTTTCCTGGTTGTGTGCTTCCAAAAGTGGAACAAGTTGAAGTCTTGAAACAGATTCAACCTATTTCCCCCTTCATGTTTGCTTTTCCAGTTCCACAGGGCACCATCTTCTTTTTATGTCAGCTGTTCTAAGAGGTCTATATTTTTACTGAAATGATTTTACTTGTTTAAACTTTTTAAAATTCTCTGTGTTGGAATTTTACATGGCACTTCGTTTTATTTTTCTTGCATCCATTTTGATGATTGTATATATTCTTTGGACTGCTGTGAACAACCCTGAGAGCTGTGGCCATTGGGAGTTAGAGAAATGAAAAGGCGGCGAGAGGGAAGTAATGGCAAATATGGGCAGTTACATTACCTATGGTGTTGGTCCTATAATCGAAGAGCATACTTATGTCATGATTTCATTCCCTCCCTCCACTGTTTGAAAGCAATGTTTCCTGTGCTCAGTCAGAACAATCAGAGATCACCTTCTAAAGTATGACTCTGGTCTCAAGTAACTTCATTTATCCATCAATCATGCCTTCTGCCACCATTCATACCTTGATCCTGTGATTAGCTTTTCCTTTCTGCAACAGAGTGGCATAAACTCCCCAACAGAGATAGCTGTTGACTGTCATAAACCTTTGCCACAACTCAAAAACCGAATGAAGTGCTTGATGAAGAATGGCATTTAAAATGATTTCATTAAGTACAAAGATTGAAAACAACTGAAATCACAATATAATTTCAGTAAAAGCAACTGTGGCCTGCCCAGGGTAATGTTGCATAATAATTTCCATTCTATGGCTCAGATTTCCAGCTGCCCACCTCTTGCAGAAAGCATTTATTTTTATGCTAGAGTTCTTTTAAAAATGTTTTCTTTGAAATGATTGTTAGCATACTGAGCATTTTTCTAGGTACTGTCTAAAGTACGATTTGTCTCTTCGTGTGCAGAAGCAATAAATGTTTGCTATTTGATAAACAGAAAACTTACTTTGAAAAGGTCAAAAATATAGCACTGAACACTCCTAGATATGGAAGTTTTAGCATTTGTCACTGCATATTAGATCTTAAAATTAATGAGCATGACATTTCAATAATGCTAATAGAATATGCTTGTCAACAAAGAATCTATTCTGTGGCAGCCATTAGTTAATTAACATGCCGAGAGAAATGACCTTGTCCAGGCTGTGAAGACCATGAATTGCTGGATAAATACAGATTTTAATTTTAGCCCACTGGAATCCTTGCTTTTCTCATGTGTGCACGGGCTGGGGGTGGGGAGCTACACTGGGTTAATCTGGGGGAAAGAAAGGATGTAACAGCAAAGCTGAAGCTGGATTCTTTGCATCCCTGTAATGTCCGGTTTGTGCACCAGGTTAGATGTTCTCCATCTTCCATACTGGCTTCCACTAACATGCCATCGTACCTCCTTCTAGCCATTAATATCAGGGGCTCAGCTGCATTCTCAGTCAGCAGACCACACCCAAATATATATCAGAAATTTACTTCAGCTCATTTCTGAATCAGTATCTACCCAGTTTGTTGTTTCTAGACTGCATATACTCTCAGATGCAATCTGTCGTCCAAGTCTGCATACTTTGCAAGCTTGACCAAAAGAAGTGTGCTTAACAGGGGCAAGCATATGAAAAATGTGTACTTTTAGAAAATGCACACACGTATGCTTTAATTAATGGGAAAAGACTGTGTACATTTCAAACATGCACACAACTGATGTAAATGTTTGGAAAAACAGACATAAATATGCATAGATGTTCATGTGAAAGGAAAAGAAACAAAGAATACTCATAAATGATACAGATTTGAATCACAACGAGCTTCCAGATGGAATCTGGAACACTTGGGTGAGCTTGGGTTATGCTGATTTGCACATTCCTAACCAGTCCCCATAAACAAATTCACTCTCTTGGCTGATTAGCTGTACACAGTACTGCTGGTAAGCTCTACAGCTTGTGACTTGAGCTTGCGTCCATCTCAAAGAAGAGATCTCTGCATGTTTCTAACTTCCTCTCTGGCTCAGATTGGCAAGAATAACCTTTCCCAGATGATCATGCAACTTTGCTGAATCCTTACCTCCCTAAGTGGGTCGTTGAGCTCATTGAGAATGCTCTCCTCATCAAAGATCTTGCCTTGGTAACGGTGCTCATAATAATCATGGATCTTCTGGCGCATATCGGCAGGTAGCTTATGAAATGACATGTACTGTTCCACTTGTTTGTACTAAAAAAGGGAAAAAAGCAAAAATTGTAAATGCAAATATCTCAACAACCAGGTGATGAGCCACATACAATGAATTACTAACACCGTGAAAAAAGAAGAGGAAGCTAATCGATGGCTAATAGCAAAGGCAGTGAAAAGATAATAACTGAGGTTGTTTCTCCACAGCTGAGAATCTTCCATGTGGTATGCAAATAACCTGAAAAAGGAGTTTTGCCAGCACCCTCTAATACTATATATTTTTGCTATATAATCCAGTTTACAATTTTCATTTAGCAATGTTCTGAGTGGAGAGAAGTGGACTGCACAGGTTCATGGAGGAGCAGGCTGTCAGTGGCTCCTAGTCTCGCTTGCTATGCTACCTGCATTCCCAGAGGTGGCCGCCTGCGAACACCAGTTGCTGAGCTTGGGCAGAAGGAGGCCTTGCACCCATCCCGGGCAGCTGGTCTGCTACCGCGTGTACAGACTGCTGAACTAGATGGGCCTCTGGTCTGATCCAGCATGGATTGTCTTATATTCTTACATTCACACGTAGTTACAGAACCACTACACAATACAAAACAATAACATCATCCATCGATGAATGTCCTATTTGATCCAGTCATTCAGCACTAACCACAATATTTGAATTTCTAGAATTATTAGCTGAACCACCTCCTTGGTTTCCCAACATTTGACCTTCACAATACCACAGAGGGCATTATATTCCTTTCCAACTCCATTCTAGTTAATTGCCTCTGCATAAGCCCTTTGTGCTTTTACTGACAGCCCTGCCTCTTGACCAATTAGAGAGCTAAGAGATTCATTCTGACTCATTTTCGCCTACTTAACTTTTGCATGAATGAGATAGGCACCAGGTATCCTGTACACGGATCTGTAACCTTCCAACACCTGTACAAATCTATTTGCCCACCACTTATTTATTTTACTGCACTGTGATTTGAGTAGTCCAAACCCCAACTTTTATGTGCAAATAAATTAAAAAGATTTCATTCATATTTACTTATTTCAGTGTTTATTAATGCTGCCTTTCAGCAGTAACCATTCCAAGGTGGCATGCAAGTTATTAAAAACAGAGAACTTATTATAGCATAATATTAGTAGTGCATTATAATTTCATTTTAATTATAACTATCAACCCAATCTATTTTCTTCTCTTGGAAGCATTTGAAACAATTAACAGCATATAAAATCAGACAACAAAAAATGTTAACTTAAAATAGTAACAGTTAAATATAGAGCCCCAAAATATTCCTTCAAACACATTTCAAATTAAAAATCTCTATGGGGCATTTAAAAGATGAAGGGATATTTTCATTAACAAAGGGCTACCACCAAAAATGCTGTGTCATCAATGCCTGCCAGTCTCAATAACAGGTCCAGAATGGTGGCCTCAGATATCAATGTTAAGGCCTGTGCAGGTTCTTATTGCTGGTGGGCCATCAAATAACTGGGACCCAAGTAGTTTAAATACTTAGAAGTATCCAGTGGTGTGTTTTATGAAGCCCAGAAATGAGCTGGTGGGTAATGTAGCTAGTATAGTCAAGGTAGTAGATGTTTCAGCAGCTTGAAGCTCACAAGTATGTGAGCAGAGTGGTTTCTTAAAGTTCATCAAAGAAGACAATCCTTTCCAAAACAGATGACAAAAGAGGACACTGATTTGCACAAAAATGCCATATGCCGCTTTATAGATTAGCCACTATTAATATAAGGATTTTAGGTGCTTCTACTAGAAGCAGTCAAATCTCAAAAGACTATTGTAAATATTAAATCTAATTTCCTATATTTGCATGTGCTTCCCTGATTGTTTTACTGAGGGTCAGTGAAAAAATCCTTTAAAAAAACCTCTCTCCATCCTCTGAGGCTATGTAGCTTAAACAAAGCAGCTTAGCCCTTTTGTTCAAGGCCATTCTGTAATTTACCAGGGAGGGAAAACCCTGTACCTAAATTGAACATGACTCTGATCTCCCTACATATAAGATACACACACTATATGGTAACTAAACAAACTAACCTACCTCCCCCCCACCCCCGCCCCGCCCCAGCCCTGCTAAGTGTTAGCCTGAATCCTGGAATTATTTCAGGATTCTCCAACCATCCATTTTCTCTTAAAGCATGTATTTCTAACCATTCAGTTGTCAAGTGAACTTTGAAACTCTGAGTGAGAAAATGTCAGAGGAGTGCAGAGCACAGCCTAACCATCATATGCATTTCCTTCAATTTGTGCAATGACACATAGGCAGTGAGATCACACATGATAGTACTTTCAACTTATAGGCTTTAGTTTTGCTTGGTTAATTCTTCCAGCACCCTCTGCTACAGTATTCTCCAAATTCATTAGTGATTGCTACAGGTATAGATAACATTAAAGTGTCTAGCACTGAAATGATAACATAATTCTACCTTGACTATGGCTTTTTCTGTGTACATACTTGCAGATCAGATCATTTTAGCCAACTAGTTTTCTTGTTGCTCAGTTGCTTTCCTCTCTCCTACTTGGGAGGAAATTTGAATACATTTTCTTTATGAATAAGAGTTCTTACATTTTTAAATCACAATTGTATGCCAGTTTACATAGTCCTATAGCATCAAGCATAAGATTACACCCTAACTGTAGTATTTCTACAGCACTTTAGAAGTTCTTCTTCTTTTGATTGATTGATTGATTGATTGATTCCATTTCATAGCAGTCATTTGCTGAAGCTTTCTGGGTGGTTTACAACATGAAGCTTAAAAGTATAAAATACAATAGACTCATAAAATCAAAAGTCTAAAACAGAATAAAATAAAGTTGTCATGAAGATGAAAACAAGAAGCAATGCAAAGATCAAAATGACAGTGACACCCTTGTTAACGCTGATGGGGTAAAAAGCCTGGGGAAATAAAATGACCTTCTCCAGATGCCAGGGAAAAAAGGAAAAAAGAATAGAATAGTGCAAATGCTAGAAGGTACATTCCACAAACAGGTGCCACCACTGAAAAAGCCTTCTCAGTTGCTACCCAGCTTGCTTTATTTGGTGAAGGCATCTGAAGAAGGGCATCTGAGAATAAACTTAGGCTGTCTGCAAGTAAATAGGGGAGAAAGGAACCTTCAGGCAACCTCACCCAAACAGATTAGGGCTTTGTAGATTAATACAGAAGGGCTTTGATTTAGGGTACACTTTGATTTAGAGTAAATCCCATGGCAGGATTTATTCTCTGCCTGAGATCAGGCAGGTTCCTAGCATGGATTACTTTAACTGCAAGCCACAGAGACATTTGCATTCTTGACTGCCCACTGGTCAGCCTCCTTAGGCTATTTATTATTACATTTAGGTCCTCCTTTCCTCTGGTGAGGAACCCAAGGCTGTTTACTCAGGCCTCTTCAATGAGATCACATTGCTCTTAACATAGTTTTACTGGTTTAATGATTGGTTATATAATATTTTATCATCACTTTCTCTTGTAGACCACTTTGTATGTATTTTAAATGGGAAGTTGGATAGAAATCTTCTGAAATAAAATAAATAAAATATATAATGTTTTGTCAAGAACACCAAGAGAGGTCTTGACTGAGGGGACATTGGACCCAGCAAATTACTGGGTCATCATGCAGCCTCCCAGCCACTAATATGTCCTTTATCTCATTCAGCATTTTATCAAATATGCACAAAGTGTTTGCAAGTGTTGATACTGAAAAGGAAGCTACCAACTTCACTGGGACAGCTTCAGTGATGGCACAGGTGGTGTGAATTCCTTTCCAGTTCTGTTTGGCACCATTGTGAACAGGTGCACTAAAAGAAGCAGAGTTTACTTGGTCCAAAGAAGAAAAATAAAAAAGATATGTAGTGAAAGAGCAAACTTACACTTCTACATTTTTCAGTCATTTTCAGCAGTGCCATAAAAACCTTGCTCTTTTCAATACCCTGCATGGTAACATTCATTTTCATGTTCATACCCTATTCTGTCTATGTAGCTCTGTGGATTCATTTAGAAATTTTCCCTGATCAGACAGGATTGCCATGTGCTTAGCACATGAACAGCAGCAAGCACGCGACAGTTGCTGCTGAACAGAACTGAAAAATATGTTCACATAATCCATAGTTAAGGTATTTTAATTGTTAATATTATTTATTTTATTCTTTGGCCAGGTTGACTTAATTTATATTGTTTTATAGGATTCTATTTATTTATGGTTGTGAGCTGCCCCGAGGCTTCGGCGAATGGGGCGGCATAGAAGTTCCCTAAATAAATAACTAACTAAATAAATTAAAATAAAATAAAATATCCCATAACGTAATGCTCCGTGTGATGTAGTGAGTAGAGTGTGGGACTCTGTAGTCCTTGTTCTGGTCCCCACTTGGCCATGAAGCTCACTGGGAACTTTGGCCTGTTATTGTCAGCCTGATGTCCCTCACAAGATTGTTGCGAGGATAAAATGGAGAGGTCAAAGACTGTGTGCCGTCCCTTGAGTTCCTTGCAGGAAATAAGGTGGAATCTGAATATAATAAATAAATCCAGTTTAAGTGCTAAAAACTGGCTATAGGTATGTGCTATCTACTGGATGGGGAAAATTAAAATGACCTCATGCACTGAATTTAGATCACATCATTTGATTGTATAAAAAGCTTATGCCAGACAAAAAATGTTTAACTTCTTCAGAAAATTTCCTCAAACTTAATTAATTTCTCAATCATCGCAGCTGAAAGGAACAATAGTGAAACATTTCATATAGTGGTTTATTGAGATGTAATATTTAATTACTGACTAAAATTTAAATGACATAAAGCTTCTTAGTAAGGTAATTAATATGCATGGGGACGTCTGGGTTGGAAGAATGAGTAAGCAGACATCACAAGTAAAAGATAATTTATAGACTTAAAAATAACAATTGTATTTCTCTCTGTGGCAACAAAGGGGAGGGCATCCAACCATCTTTGACAAATGGGGGCATTTATTATTAGCTTGGCAATTCTAAGTGTCTAGGCCCTGGCAAAATAGGGAGCATCCAAGGTGAAACAAAA